GAAAAATTACACAAAAGTTTACAACAAAAAAATCAATAAAAAAGTAATGCACCTTTGCCCTAAACAGGCATTCTATTTAATTATCAGGGAAAACTCTGGTGTAAAACTTTCTTTTGCCCTTTTCACTTTTATTAGTTATATTATTGTTTTTTTCTGGGTAAATGTCTGTTTCATTCTGTTTCATTTCAGCTTGCTAAACAATTTGACTAAGATGATAGTAAGAAAAATACAAAATGCTGGGATGTAACTCCCATACTCATGGGAGCATAAATGTTCAGTAAGAAGTTGGGTGGAACTGTAACCTGTAACCAAAAACAATCTTTAGTCATCCCTATATATCTGTCAAAGCCAGAGTCATATAACAGGCAAACGTCACACACTAAAGTGCTTTGGTCAGCTTTGCTTTGGTCTTTAATAACTCAGGAGGGGGTAAGCTGCAAAATCCTCATAATTACCGGTGCTTAAGTGTCGTGATGAGGACAGAGAGACAAATGTGAGCAAGCAGTAACATGGAACACATTTCTCTCCACCTCTGACTGACCGGAGTAAACAACATTTAGATGACAGCTTTTCTGGAACTTGACCAAGACTGAACATTGAACAGTTATTGTGACTTCATGGAATTGAACCCCTTCCATGTGCATATGTTATTTTCATGTATCCAAGTTTCCCCAAAAAGCAATTTTTTGGGAATCAGGAATGCTGGACTGGCAATGATCAAATCAGTGGTAGTACACGTGCATCAAGAAAAAAGATTTTCAAAAGAATACCAATGCTAATTATTAAGCTTAACTTCAACACAATTGACTCAGGGCACCTTTAACACCAAAATGATTCATTTTCATGGCTTTCTGAACTTGGCCAGTGAGTTGGCCAATGCATTTTGGCATACAAGCCTTCTTCAGGGAGTCTCGACAAAGTCATAAAATGCAAAAAGAATAATAAAACCTGTGAGAAATCTTTCTAGGTGACATCATCTTTAGACCTGCAGATGTCCGCGCAGTCCTATTCATCCCTATTTCGGCCTGTTCCCACTCAAGATGCTTCATTTATCCACAGGTTTATTGCTGAGGTGTAGATATCGTCTATCCAACTCCAAACTAATTCTTTGTTTAGTGTGTTTTTCTTCTGAGGGAGTCTTGATCGAGGCACATGTGTAACTGGTGTACTCAATTTTACAAATATTCTCGTTGCATGGGGTCTGCACCACAGACGCGGCACAACATATTTTCTTGATTGCGTTATATCAGAAATTGTTCTCAACTGGTTTTTCCTCTCTTCAAATGACTGAAAGTCAGCCCTTGGGGCAATGGAGCAAACAACTTATAATTGAGTTGATTCTTTTGAGAAAATAAAGATCATATCTCTTCGCTGAGGTGATTAGTTCTTCCTCCCTGTATTATCAGTGGCCAGATCATAAAGTGCTGAGGAATGCCCAGCATCTGCATATATCCTTTTGCCCTCATATAGTTCTCACTCGGGTGAGAGTAATGATCACAGGAGACTCTGTGAACATCGCTGTCCCAAAGAAAGAATGCAAGCAGCGGAGGGGCGCTTCCAAGAATTCCCATTTGAGGACTTTTCTGGAATGTCCTAACAAGCCTTCCTCGCTGTGTTTACAGTTCCAGACTGATGGCAACCCTGCAATCTGCCCTGCCAGCGTGTCATTATCTGGCCTCCTCAAGGGACACATAGAGGAACAGTTAGAAGGAATTTCTGGTTTCTTACCAGAGATTCAAATGTTTTCAGAGCTGAGTATGCTCAAACGGTCAGAACTAATAAAGAGATACAGACACTGACTTTGTGAGTTTTAATAAATTGTACGAAATCTTCAAATTAGGTAAGGTGTCTAGACTGACAGCCAGTTGCTGAGATGTTTCTGTCTGGTCTGTTTAATCCTTTTGTATTACACTTATTCAGCATGTTTGTTCTTAGCTGCAGGTAGACATTTAAAAGACGCAGATTCATTGGAGAAAATATCATTATTTTGGATTCAGAACCATCGTCGAACCACACTTTGAGTATCACTCAAAACAAGTCTCAAGAGGCAATGACATTTTTCTTAAAGTGGAAAAATGTCAGGAAGGAGAGTGCACATTTATTTTGGCAGGGTGAAAAAAGCATGTGACAGCGCTGTGGTTTGTGTATCTGTGTGTCTGTGTGTGTCTGTTGACACTGTGCTCACCCCCTGTTAACAGTATGTTCTGATCTACTTCAGCGAGACCAGGAACACAAATAAGATGTTGGACTTTACTGACTTTAGACCACTGTTATGTAACTCAGGAATGTTGGCATTGGATCATCTCACTAAATCAAACAGCGGTGCAAAGGTTAGAGGGAAAGATTTAGATTCGCTCCAATCCCACAGACTTTCAGTTGTCTTGACTGAAGTTTGAGCAAACTTTTTTCCCTCCTCTAATTTAGTGCAACAGAAATTCCAAAAAGAGAATTCACAATGATTGCTCAGCCATAAATCCAAAGTATATACAGTGTATATAATGGAATACAATAAATATCTGTGTCAGTATCGTCAAGTTTTAGCAAAAAAATGCTTAAATTCTTCACACCCATTTTTCCCGTTTTTATTTTTACCCGCTCTTTTTTACCATATCTGTCAAAAGTCATTAGGGGACATCCCAAGCTCATCAGAGCTTTCCAAATTTACTGATGCTCTTGTGGCAAAATCAGGATTGGTGAAAATTTCTTTTTAACCAGTGGTTCTCACCCCCCAAAAATAATTTTGTTAAATATTTCTCTTTCCTTGCATATTTTTAAAAAGCCAACATAAGTTGACCTTACATTTCTTTCCAGAAAGTATCATTCAAGGACTTATATCTGTGAAGATTTGCAATCATCCAGGTCATGGTCAACTTGAAAAGTTCAGTTTAGGCAACTGGATGAGAAGTTTTCTACAAGACATTTCACTTCTCATCCAAGAAGCTTCTTCAGTTCTGGGAACTGTCGAGACACAGCATTGACCCCCTGGACCTCTTAAAGAACACAAGGCAGAAGGGCAACAGTCTGCATGGCAGAAAATCAATAACGAGAACGCCCAGCAGGAGCAACAAAAATCAATTCAAATTAAGGTCAGTGAGCGCTCTCAGTTGTAAGCTAAATTTCCATAGTTAGGTCAATGCCTATCAAAAGAGTTGAATGTGCACACAGCTTTGTTCAGAGGTCGGTGTGGGCATCATTTAGTGAGCTATTTTTTCTGAAAACCATCTATCTAGAAAGTATGCACATCCATGCAACCATTTTCTGTACCACCTATTCCCAACGGGGTGGTGGGAGGGCCAGGCCTGGCCAGGCCTGGACAGGTCGCAAGTCCATGGCAGGGCCACACAGAGACAAACAACCACACACACTAACATTCACTCTAAAGGGCAATTTGGAGTGTCCAGTTAACCCAACATGCATGTTTTTGAAAGGTGGGAGGAAGCTGGAGTACCCAGAGAGAACCCCCGCAGTACCTGGGAGCACATTTAAACTAAACACAGACAAGATGTTCCTGGACTCCTTTTGGGTTATTTCCTGCTTATAACAATAGAGGGTGAAGTGTCATGCCAGGATGTTGTTTCTCTACTCCAGACCGACCCACAGCTTGCCCACCAGGATAGCCTACTGGGAAGTTTCTTTCAGTCTTAAAAAATAAAAAGCGTTGGAAATACTCCCAACATATTTTTCCCCAAAAATTCCACGCCTGTGATTAACCAGAGTGGTGACAGGATGTGTGAGTGTATTTAAGGAATTTAACCATGTGACTTAACGCTTACTGACAAAGAAAACCGGTTGTCATGTATCTAACTTTTATCACCATTAGATCTATTTTCCATCTGCTCGGTCACTTTCCAAACATGAAGCTACATCTTATGGGATTCAAACAACATAAAAAAAGACATCAGCAGTGGGTCGTCATCTTCTTGACCAGTTAAAACAGGCAATAAAGAAGCTTAACGAGCAAAAAAATGCCATGACTCAAGCTATATGTGAAACACCGCTCATACATTCTTGACTTCTTTGCCTCATTAGACATCCTGGAGGAATGTGAGGTGGGGAAAAAACGTCTTTAGATCAGAGATAAGAGATGTAAACGAGGCTACGTGCCAGAATCTAAATGATAAAAAAATACTCCAGCTTCTTCCCACTGTCCAAAAATGTGCATGTTAGAACACGTTAAACCTTAAATTGCCGATATGAATGAATGTGAGCGTGTGCTTGTTTGTTTTAATGTGGTTCTGCGGTGGAGTGGTCACCTGCCTCTTTACCTCTGAAACATCTTTTTTTGGTCAATCATGTTACTGTCCTGATATCAGTAGACTCAATAAGTTCCTATTTTTTCCATTCAGGATATTTAGCTTTTCCACAATTTGTTAATTCAAAAATGACCAATAAGTCATCAGATTGAATTAATTATATTAGTTGGAAGTTCGCATTTTGAGAACAAGAATACATTTTCTCTCGTAAATTTCTGGCTTTAATCCTTTCGACAGTTTTGAAAATGTGTCTAAAAAAATGCAGTCTTCCGTAAATTGGAAATATTACTAATGTAATATGTATTTTAAAACTGTACAGATCCGCCCTCTCATGGAATCTATTTCCGTGTACACAGAAAAGCTGCTTTTGTTCTGATGAAATCTAGGTAATTCCCACTCCCCTATCAGCAAACACATTGTTTCTCACAGGAAGTATTTCCTCTTATCAAACTCCAATGGTTACTTGAGAATCATTGTGGAGCGAAATTCTGTTCTATCTGATTCAGATGGGAGCCACCTTGCGGAGAGAAAGTATTTGGTTTTTCCATTTTTCTGACAGTGGAACTCTTGGGATTTTCTATCAGCTTTTCAATGTGTTCCCACATGTGAGTTGCAACTTAAAAAAAGACAGCTCTGTGATAGTAAAGAGAGGGTTAAGACTGAGGTAATAAAATAAATAGATACTACACAGAAAATCAAAGAAAAAAAGAAGGTTGGTATGTAACCTATTTAAAGATCACATGATTTAGAAATAATGTTTATTGTTTGTACTGAAAGCCTCCAGTAGCGCCAAATTATTGATAATTACATGTTTGAGACAAATTCATGTCAGATCTGTTGGATAAACAAACAAAACTGTGTATGCAGGGAAACACTCGCAGCACAGAGCATATTTCTCATCCCCTGTTTTGGACCTGTAGGAGCAGGAGCCATGGCAACCAAATACCAAGGGGAGAAAAATCTTCGGGCTGCCTGGCTGGGCTCCATCCTACTGGCAGTCTCACTAAAACTCATGAATTGCACGACAAAAACAACATTCCTCATCTAAGTGATATAGTCCTCAAGGAATTCCTGTTAAGCAGACACATTTCTGAGGGTGCATACCTCAATGTATTGAAACCATCTGGTACAGCGTGTGAATCTTAATTCTCCAGATCCAAAGAGACATTAGAATCAGTTTTTGTTTTTGCCATCGCTGGGTATACATTGTATGCAGTGGTTCATCTTCAACATACCATTGACTTTTACTGTAGACAGTGACATTCCTGACAGGTAAAACACAAAAGTTCAGAATCTGACGGTTTTCTGGAATGTCTCAAATTGAAAAGAAAAAAAAACTCTTGTTTAAACTTTTTTGTAATTCTGTTTGTAGGACTGGAGTATAGCCTGAGAATGTCTGCGAAGATACGCCTGTGGCCCACTGCCAGCTCTCCCACATCAGTGCTGACTCTAGTCCTGCTCAGGAATGCAGTGAAACTACACAGAATCTTTGGAAAAAACACATTTTGCTGCAGAGAGCAGAAAGCAGTACATACAAATTACATTTTTCTGAATGTCCCAAAGGCTCCTGGCTCACATTTTGCCAGGGTTCGTAATGCAAATTTTCACCACTTAACATTATGAAGCAAAAGAGTCTGGGGTTGGCAACTAGTTATACGGCCGTATCTTGTGGCAAACTCAATGTCAAAATCTGCTTTGGAGATGTTTCAGACTTTTGGTTCATGAAAAACTTACATAAAGTATGTACATAAAGTATGTCAAATAAAGAATTCATGTGTAGAATTGCTGGTTAGAAATAACATAACAGGAACCTAAAGGCAACAGAATGTGTTACCCATGCACAGGAGACATTTGGTGCAGTGGCTCATCACTTAGCAGGTCCAATAAAAAGTTGACCAGCAAACATTTTTTTCAGCTGTGAAAAAAAAATATTTTCATGTAAGCCATCTAATTTTACTTTGTTATGCATTCAATCAATGGCTTTACAGTATATCATTTGTCACTGGTAGCATCCCTGAGAGTCTGTAAGAGGCCGAGAGATGTTGTTGAAAGCCCACTGGAACAGGCCATCAATGGAGTTTGGCTGAGAAAGAGCACAAAAGAGACAAAGTCACACAAAGAACTCACAGATAAATTATGGCATACATTTTTCTTTGACCGTTCGTTAATGAAAACATAAGCCGGAAATTGTTTTTAACCTCAAGTGAAAAACTACATGCGTGTTCTACTTAATGTTAAAGTATGCACATTTACTACCCAACTGGTCTCATTATAATAAGAATTTAATCTAAATACTGTTGACAGAGATGTAATATCTTTCTGTACTGTCAATCTCTCATGTAAAAAAGGAACACAGTAAGGGCTGAGAAATGAGGGAGGGAAGTCAGATCATTATTCTGACATACTCGACACTTTATACTTGGCTAGGTGGAGTCTTTGGATGCCTGTGATTGAGCATGTTTAACATAGTGATCACAGGGCTTTTTTTGGATGCTCCAGACTTCATCCTGTGCCACTCTTGAGGAAAGATTCTATTTAAAAAAGTAGCATTCTCAGCCATGCTGAAATCAACAAAGTATGACTCTCACATTCATGGACCCCAGTTCCTGCACATGAAAAAAGCTCAGGTGCTAAAACTATACAATCTCCAACCTATAATGAATCATTAAAGCACACATCAACACAGAAAAAACTGTCGGGCAAGACAACAGGCCCTTGGGTACATTCCGCTCCATGACACCGCTCTCCATTATTTATTGATTTGCCCTCATAGCTGTGTGACAACTCATTGCATTTCTGTGCGATAAGAAGAGGAGCAGCCATCTTGTGTCTGAGATACATTGATAGATTCACATACTGTGCTATGTAACTAAGCCATACTCACGTCTCCCAGGACGGAGTCAAATTCATCTTTATGGACAATGGGCTCAGAGATGGAGGCATTCGGATCGTAACTGAATACGTTTTGTGCTGCTGGTGCAACCTAAAGGCGCACACGAGCAGGGAAGATATTACTGATTACAATGTGGCATACGGAGAATATAGAGGCTTTTCTGTACATCTTTTAGGGGTTTGGAGACACACCTGCATGCTTCTGGGCTCAACCACTTTGTCTGCAGAGCTGCCCCACTGCCTGGAGCAGGACAGACAGATGGACCTCCCTCTTGGAAACACACAAACACTGTGGGTGAGTCAGGAGGCTCAGTTCTGTGTATCATGTTTCCATCAATCAATACACAATTTGAGGCTTCAGAGAAAGGGCCTTAACCCCCTTTCAGCTAGTATATCACACTCGACTTTGGACTTTTTTAGAGGTTGGGCTATCGGTAGAAAGAAATGTGAAACAAATGAGTGAACTCATCGCAAAATCTTAATCACTGGTATCATTTTCTAAATGTAAACTATAAATGCTACTGTTTGCTAGAGTTTGCAGATAATGATCACTAGAGACAGTAGATCATCATAAAGACAGGGGAAAATGTACTTTACACAGTGTAAAAGATAAGACTACAAAAGCTAGCATGGCATGTACATACTAATAACTGTTGTTCATCTTATAAAAAACATTGTTCTCTATCTGAATATGTTTTACTGCACTCAAGAGAGAAATAAGCGTCCATCTTACTTGGAGAAGTGGCAGTGTACGTGGAAACACTCTAAACACTGGAGGCAGCAAGACAGGTTTCCCCCTTCAAGGTGACAAACACCACATACTTTCCTCACACTGACCAGTTCTCCACCTGAGCACTGGATACACAGCAAAGAGTTACATATTCACATAAAGCTGTAGAAAGAAAATAAAAGAAAGAAACTACAAAGGCAAGACATGAGGAGGTGCCTATGGACCAGAGACCTCTTCACCTGGTTTTTGCCACTGGAAACATTGATTGAGGCTGTGACACTTGTGAGGGAGGATGGCAGCGAAGAGTAGAATGAGGCGTCTGGGACTTTGTTACTGCAGTCTGTATGTGTTTGCTGAGGCTGGGTAGTAAGTGCCTGAAAATGAAAAGAGTTTAGAGAATGGTCAGAATTAGAAAATATATAGCACCAGCGATTAAAAAGATCCAAAAATACCAGCTTTTAAAGTCCAGGGATTCTGTAGCCTGTGACTTTACCGCTTTATACAGTACATGCAAGTATATGGTATTATATAACAGGGCAGGTTCATTTTATGTCATTGTTTTTACTGTTAATCGTAAATCAGCAATGCTATGTGATAATTCCAGCAGGTTTGTGAATGTTCAAAAATGAAAATCATGTATTCTTTTGTGTTCCAGGCATGTATACATTTTCTCATCCAACAAAATATTTCTGGTGCTTACTTTTAAAGGCAGTGGGACATTCTCTTTTTTCAGCTTGTGTCCACAGCACCACTCACATTGCCAGGGGCCACTGCACATCCAAGAACGTGTACAGAATTAAAGCGTGTTGCTGTAAATCGAGGTATCTTTGAGCCCACACACAAATACAGACTAATGCATTTTTTTAAAAAGAAAACCTGTAACTTTTCTTTTTCACCTGGGTATAGAAGTGAGTGGAGGCTCAAGGCAGGCCAGATGAAAGGCTCGAGGACAGCCATCACAACAAATGAGCTCTCCACCATCTTTACACACTGCACACTCGTCATCATTACAGTGAGTCTACACAAGCATACGCACACACAAGAAAATACATTCCTTTCATTAACGATTCAGAAACAAACACACGCTTTCAATAAACACAGTCCCACAGTTCAGACTGTGAACCATCACCGTGCTTGTTGTTGTCTCCCCCTGGTGGTGAAAAGTGGTCTTAGCAAATTTTGACGTGCCGACATTAGTCTCCTCAGAGAGACCCCGCGAGTGAAACCCCTCCGTTTTTATGTATTTCCTGTTTGTCCCTTTTTGATGAGAAAAAACAAAAACATATAAAGGATTTTTTTATAGTCAAAGAAAATTATTAATAAAGGAATTTTGTTTGAATTTACCAAAGACAATGCTCATGTTATGAAATCAAGTTGACGTTGACTCCAGTGTAAATGTATATCTGGTGATTTATTGATTATACCTGGTAGTTTTGTAATAGTCATGATGGCAATGTGAAGACTCACAACTCACCATCTGAGATATTCTCCTGCTTAATAAGGAGCTTTTCTCTAGTCTCACTGCTAACTGGTAGATCTTTTGGGAAGACCTTAGAAGAGGACTGCGTCACCCCTTTCTGTGCTAAGGAGGACACATCTTGCACACCTGTGGCAGAATTTAGAGGAATATGTTCTGTAGTAAAAAAAAATAATCATTTCAATCATCGTTAGTCAATGCAATCGGGGTATTGTTACTGTTTCTTGGTGGCATCTGCAGGGCTGGAACTTGACTCTTTACTATGCAAAGCTTCACTTTACTTCCTGAATTAAAAAAAAGAATAGCACGTTAAAAAGAATGTCGGAGGCGTCCTAAAGAAAATAGTTCTCTGAACTGGCTGTGTAACTGTAAGAGGATATAGAGCACTGGAGGGTATGACCTGATCCATCACTCGTCTTGGCTTGAAACTCGGAATGCTGAAAGTCTGGCCCTTTGTCACCGTGGCTCCTCTTCTTGGTCTTTGGAGCTTTGACGCTTCCCGTAGAGCTGTTTTCGCTTGCAGCATCCCGCCCTGTCAGAAAGAATGGGAAACACTGTGAAAAAGGTTCTGCATGAGCAAAGATGAGAAATGAAAGAGTTAAACATTTTGAAAGAAATTAGATAAGCATACTGGAGCGGAGGCTAGTCAGCAGCGTCTGCAACTTGGGGTAACTATCAATATTGTAGTCTTTGGATAAGTTGCTCCAAAAGGCCCGGACCGTGGATCTGCGCTGCTCCAGAATCCAGGACAGGAGCCAGTACATGGCCTTGTGGATCCCTTCGTTGCCTCCCTTTTCCAGAGTGTCCTAAAAATGACAGCTTCAGTGGTGAGGTACTGAACTATGAAAACTAATATGTTGGGAAAAGTGTGATTTTCTGATTTAAGTCCGCAAGAGCTGTGACAAATCTAAATCAAACTGAATTACAATTGCTTTTACAGACAACGTGGAAAGGATTAGTTTAATAACTTAATTTTAGCCCTTTTTTGCATGCAGTATAAAATGGGTTCTGAAACAAGAAGAAGCTCAGAAACAAAGGCAAACTATACCAAACTCACATTTCCAGTCTTTATCCTTGCCTACCTTCAGCAGCTGCTCACTGATGATGTTTTTGTCTGCCAAACCATAGACAAGAGGGAAGGGGTCGTCCACTGCCATGGCGATGTCCGTACGCAACTCTCTCAGCAGACAGCGCAGGTTCGTGTCTCTGAGCGCCTCCACTCTGGACATGATGTTTAATCGCAAATGAGATTTCACCCAAAGCAGAGCTGAGACAATTCTTCAAGTGGTCTGGGTTCCAGAGGTGTGCCCTTTTCAGGGAAGGGAATTACAGCAACAGCTTTCATGCACATGTTGGGCTCCTGGGAGGAGGCCCCTCAGAAGCTGCTCTCTTTTAGCTTCATTTAGCCACTAACAGCAGAAACTGCTGCCATCAGGGGAATACCTGTCTTCTGAAATCAGGAAAGTTCAGTAAAGTGAAGTGATTGGTCACGATGACAGTCTCTGCCTAAAAGGTTCTTTCCACTTCAATTTCCCCTCACTTATCAGGCTTTCAGCATCTGACTCACAACAGACAACTTAAACTTAATGTGATAATTATAACTTTGCTACAGGCAGATGAAAATTAAGATAACAAACAATCATCCTAATGGCAGATTGACTGAATAACTGGTTGAATACGAAGATCCCTAACTGGCTGCCCTTGTTCTTAATTTACTCCAATAACAACATTCACGAACAAGCCTCAACAAGTTACGGTGTAGAAAACTATTTAGTTATAATTTATAGCAAGTTAGAGGCATGTTGTGTTCATCTGTTTTCTGAGAGGTATAAAAGCTAGAGAGGTCTGCAGAAACCCACATCTAAGGCCCCTACTTATACATTATTCTCTTGAACAGTCTAAATTAATGCTCAACTTTTCAAAAATAAAATAAGAAATCTGATAATTTTCTAACTTTACAGTTATTTAAAAGGCCTGTTACCTGTTTTTGACTGTCCAAAACAAAACAAAAAAAAGACTCCAGTCAACACGTACACATTTAATTTCTCTAAATGTCTTTTGTCATTCTTACACAATTCTGCTCTCATCTGTTTGATGTTGTTGATAACAGTTATATGTATACATCTGTCTGTGGGAATCGTATATATAGGTATGTAAAAGAAACTGAGTCAACAGTGTTGCTACCAGGTGAATGTTAATGGTTGGGAGAGTGAAGCCCTTTAATCTGTAATTTATTAATCATTAAACATTATTACATTAGTCATACTGGTGAACAAGGACCACTTCTACAGAAGGACGTTCACAACATACATATTACATTATTATATACAGTGCAGTGCATTACAGTGGGTTGTTATATGTGTAGTACCGGGATGAGGGGATGCTGAAGCTGGGAGGAGAGAAGAATAGAGGGAGGAAAGAAGGAAAAGGAGAGGATTCTTTGGAGGTATGGGGAGTTGTGATAGCAAGTAGTCTTTTATTACTTCTTTATTTATTTACCACAGTACAGTTTGTTTTATAAAAGTTAAACCCATATAGAGAGTGTGTGAGAGAGAGCGAGAGAGAGAAAGAGAGAGAGAGAGAGAGAGACAGAGAGAGAGAAATAGTGCCACATTTTCACAGCTACTGTTGGGTGAACCTACTGGAAGTGGACTGTTGTGGGAATATCAAATGAGATACATTTCGTCATGAGATGCTATAGAGATGCTATAAAACATTCTTAGATGGTCAACCTCCTTCCAGAGCGTGGAGGCCCTGAAGGGTAGGTCAAAGGTCAAAGATCAAAGACCAGATCAGCGTGCATGCGTGCTGCAGACATTCAGACATGTTCAGCCATCTGGAAACATGGCCGAACCCCCACCCCGATTTTTTTCCTTTCTGTGTTTAGGCATCGTTTTTGGTGCTTTCCCTTTTTATATATAAAAAATACAAAACATAACAGCGAAAAGAACTCCTTGGTTGTCCTGTTTGTCTCCTTTTGCATTTTTCCCCCCCAAACAGTTTTTTGTTCATTTTCATTGCAACATGTGTTTCCTTGTTTTCCTCCAGTCACTTACATATTGACAAAGTATACAATATCTTACAACTGAACAAGACTGAAAGATAACATTTGACTTGTCCAATCAGATACATCACTCGCTATCCTATATCCAATTGGAGAAGTCAACTGGAAGCTAACCAGTAGTAAGCAACACAACAAGCCTATGGTGTGAAGGGAGCTGCCCCAATTCAGCTCTGCATTAACAAGAGCACCCACCCTCGGGGACAGTGGGCTCTGCCGGCTTGTCCAGCTTGATGTCGATCACTGGGAATTGTTGAGTTAAGGAAAAGGAACACTTTCAAATAAATGACATTCAGAATTAGGACTTCACAGCGGCACCTTTACAAATCGGCCCCTCCACAGGGATCCTGGGAAGCACTACTGCATTCTTTTGGGATACTGCATGATCATGTTTACTCTAAGTTTTGTATTTAAAATGAGCATAGTTTTTTCTTAATTTAATAGTTAGAGGAAATCTAATCAGAAAAAGTACATTTTATATTGTTTGCTACATTCCTCTTTAGTCCCTCCCACACCTTCTTCAAAAATTCATCCTCCATGACGTGCCCTCTCGAGTTGTCATTTCCATGACTGCCACCATGTGGTGCTCTGTGTTTGCACCTGGTATTTTCCAGACTCTGAGCATTTATTCCCTCCCCTGTCTAAACAGTTAAATTGTTGGTGCCTTTAGAGACAGTAGGCTCTCTGTTCTGGTGCCAACAGACACTCAGAGATTAAAACCGAGATGCCCAATTCTCGATTGCTTGGCTCCAGGCACAGTGAGTCACGGTGCCTGTAAAGGATACTGCCTTCAGGATTTGCATCATCCAAGCTTTCCATTCCAGGTAGGGCTGCCGCAACCCGACGAAACAGCTGGGAGAAGGAAACAGAAAAGATGAGAGGATGGCGAGGCATGGTCAAACATATAACCACAGGAGAAACAATGGTGATTAAAATAAGAATGGCTGAAATGTGTGAAGAGTTTTTAAGCTGTTTATTAGGCTGCTTCATTCATCTACTTTTACTCTGAGACTAATTTCTGCAAGGCTTTGAAGGCTGAAACCTGTATGAATTGCAGATATCCACCTCAATCAGTTCATGGGGCCACAGGAACAGAATTTTAGTGATGCCTAAAATGCTCTGATGTTAAAATTGCTGAGATCACCTGTTTGACATTACAGCCTGTCTTGGCGCTGGTCTCGATAAACATAACGTTCAGCTCTTTGGCTCTCTGCTCTCCTTCCTCGATCGTGATTTGCCTGCAGAAAAATCAGGCCAACTTTCTGTCCAAACTCAGTCCAATCCAACCTGAAGGTTAAGGTTAATTGTGGAAATGCATGGTTACCTCTTCTCTTCGAGGTCTGTCTTGTTGCCGACTAGCATGATGATGACATCACTTCCTCTCTCTGTCCTGACATCATCAATCCATTTGCAGGTCTGCTGGAATGAATTCACATCTGTGGAAACAAAAATAGAATTCTACATTCAGTCTCAGAAGGATTACAAACTTACATTTAAACACATTATTACAAATGGATGAATACACAGAAAGCGCTTCGTAGCTCACTCGTAATGTCGTACACAACCACAGCCACTGTTGAATCCCTTATGTAGCTTGGAATGAGGCTCCTGAAGCGCTCCTGTCCAGCAGTGTCCCACAGCTGCAGTCTTACCTAGATGTGTACGCACACACAGAAAAAAATGCACCTGGAACAGCTGTTTTCACATTGGCTGAAACACCCTACTGAAACTTTACTGATGTAGGCTTTGTGCAGGGGTGCAATCTAGTATCAGCTCATGTGCAGGGTGCCACAGAGTAATATTCTGACATAAGAACAGCATTAATACTTGCTAAGGAAGAGGATCCATAATGGAGGCCTACTGAGATGAGAAAGGTTAATGTGTCCAAGCTATTACAACCATAAATAGCATTTGGCTAATCACGTTTATGTGTGAAGAGCAGTAATTAATCAAATCAAGGATTAGCCAAAACAGGGTGGAAACTAGGTCATTAACAGACTGTGGAATAACAACTCCATACTCTGGAATTAATAAATCTGTCAGTATGATTCTACATGCAAAATATCTATTACAATCAAGGTGTCCTACTGTTCGGTCTTCCAAGTACATGGTCTTTGATAGGAAGTCAATGCCGATGGTTGCCTGTTTGAGAAGAAAAATCAGAATAGAAAGAATATTCAACAAAATCCAGATGATTTAGTTGGATCTTTACACATTCCATTTTTTCAGGAGACTGATTGATGTAAGTTAAAGCAAATCTTACTTAAAAGTCACATGTCAACAAATAAGAATTTCATTGAACACAGATACTGAATCAGTATAACTACTAATTTTATCTGCACAGCTCACAGGGTGAGCAACTTGTCAAAGTAATCTTTTGCCTCTTCCAAGAAAGTAAACCAGTAAAAGTCCCATGACACAATGTTTTGATAATATGTGAATAGTTTACATGTGTAAATTATGATTCTTAAATTTCCAATTTGTCTCAGTATTGTGGAAAAATAACATGACGTGTCACCAATTGCTTCTAACAGTTTAATAAAAAATGTTACCTGATATGTGTTGTCAAAACTGTCATACATGAATCTAGTGATGAGAGATGTTTTCCCCACTGAAAAAAAGCACACAGGAGTTCATTTGGTTAGCAGAATTCATTTACATTTCCCAAGCATATCACGAAGCTATTCCCAGTGACATGTATTTCTGTGACAAAATGACAACTAATGACTGCTAAGGACTTTGACTCTGTAGTGGCCACTATCAAATAAATAAGTCAGAAAAAAATCAAACTGACGTAAAAGATTTAAGTGAAAACCATTAAAGGATAAATACAAAGTTTTTTGTATAGGAAAAATAGAAACAAATCTAAGTTTTGATCAAATTTTGCTTCGGGATTGATACTAATTATGTTTTCATTATTGTGCATTCAGGCAGTAAAACTCCAGATCATGTTTAATATGTAGTCAAATAAGTAAAATCCAAAAGGGCAACCTGAGAATATTTAACAGTTTTTGCTAGTATTTTCTTGTAATTTCTCTTTCTTTGAGGTTGTTCCTCTACAAATAAACATGAAAACACACATTCTTATTGATTGTATTTTATTCTTGAGCACATGTGAGGGAGCACTGAGAGGAAGAGCACGTTCAAACATTTTTAGAAACTTAAAGATCTGAGATCTTTTGGCAAAATATTTTTAAGAATGGTGCTATCCTCTTCGTGAATCAAGGTGAGTCAAATGAGCTTCATCTTTAAATATATGATTCCAACCACCATCTCTGAATCCAACACCATTTTACATCGGGCCTCCACCTGAATATAGGAGGACAGGACTTTTTTCCGGCAGGCCCCTGCCCTCGGGCTGAGTTCTCTGTGCAGACGGCAGTAGTTTGGGAGCCAGCGTTGGGCAGTGGCCACGCCAGGCCTCGCTTCAGAACCATGGACAGCACCATTGCAGCGGAGGCCACACAAACACACACTGAGGCTTGAGTCGACATATTGTCATCTCATAGATATGCAGCACACACACACACACACACACACACACACACACACACACACACACCGGAGCTTCACAACGCAAGACTCATCGCCAGTCTGGCTACTGTCCTATGAGGCCCAATTGCGTATATAATGATGTTTAATATTGCTTTTCACGCCGACCAGAGTGTGCAATCCAAACACGTATTCATCCAGCTTTATGACGCTAAAGCATTATCGATTACCTCCTTCTGAATCTGTGCCATCACATCCAAACATTCCCACATTTGATGGATTATTGAATACATAGTGTGATATTATGGGGCTGTCAAAGCCTTTTTCTTTGATTATTTATGGGACTGAGCAAGAGACTGCGTGGTTTGGAGATGCTACAGACATCGCCAGCCTAGGGTGTGTCCCGAACTGACACATGGGGGACTGTTTGTTATTCCCTCTAAAAAACATATAACTAACGTAAGATCTTTTTTTTTTAATCACGAATCGACTGGGGGTAGAAAGGTTTAACATAACCACACAATAGAATAGAAGGATGCCTATAACGAGGCGTAACTTGGGGAATATAAATTAAATAAACCGGTAAAAAGGCTGATCTTTTTTTGACGGTCACTGCACCACATCAAAACATCCACCTTTCGCCCTGTACGCTGCGAATTATGATATTCTGGACAAATAGCCCTAAAGGGTTGCCTGTTTTTCAAAGTCAGTACTTGATTTAGACTGGTCATGCTTCATTCAAAGATCTCAATTCTGTGAATGCGGTTTTTTTGCTTTCTCTCTTTTTCCACCTCGGTTAATCAAATTACATTGTTACAGATGGTGCCAGGAGCAACATGGGCGTCACATATGTCAAAACCAGCCTGGTACATCGTCTATATCCCCATTAACCCCGCAATCAAAACGAGTTACACGCTCGGCTCTCAACATACAGGCATGTTTGATGAGGATGACCCAAAGCTCCCGGAGGACTGACTCACCACTTTGCTCTCCCAAAAACACGAGTTTAAATTTCCTCAGGGGGTTCCCCAAATCTCCTCCAGCTGACATGGTGGCAGATAGAGGGCTCAACTTGGATTATTTGATATGTTCTTGCTGCTCGGCGTCCCTTTCTCCGTTGTAGATGCGCAGAGGGATCCTCCTCTCCTCACAGAATGATGGGAATGCAGCTCAGCATCATCCCGTCAATGTAGAGAGCCAGTGCGCCTGCGCGACCTCACCTACCTCAGTTCTTCGCCTCTCTTTTCCAGCTGAAAACAAACATCGGTTTTACGTCTTAACATATAATTAGAAATCATGAAACCGCATCGAGGTTAAAGGGAAATTAAATATATGGTGATTGCTCACTACTTTATCTATCTATCCATCAAGCCCCTCCTCACTGCCTTCTGTGTTATTTGGAGTCTTTAGAGGTGACTGTGGTCCAAAAAAAAAAATAGTGGGAAGAATCCTTTCGTTAGCAATATGCTCCCTCTTAGATAAACATGGTCCAGTTTTATTTCAGTCATTTATCAGTTGTTTCTTTTTTTTACATTTTTGTATAAATCTATGTATTGACTGATTCATCATTGAGTTATTCATAAAGATAATCTTTTTATTAGTTTTAACAGGATGGTTTGTTTTTTCTTGTAGGGCTGCATGGTGGTGTGGCCTCATACCCTGTTTGTGTGTTATCTGTGTGTGTGCGTGGGCACTCTGGCTTCTTGTCACAGTTCAAACACATGAATGTTAGATTGACTAAAAAAGGTCTAAACTGTCTGGAGGTGTGGATGTATACAACTGTACCAGAAATAAATGGTAGAGACAATGGATGGATGTTTTACTCTTAATGAGTGCATTTAATTGTGCCTCTCTGGACTTGTAGCTGTGTGAATTGTGTTTTTTTAGGGGTGTTTTTGTTACCGGCCTCAGACCTAGGGGAAATCTGGGTCGGCACAAGTGA